CACCCACTACGCTTCTCTCACTAGACCCTCTTCCCTTGCTCGAATCACTCCGTTTCAGTCACTCCACCCACTACGCTACTCTCACTACACCCCCTTCCCTCACTCGACTCACTCCACTCCAGTCACTCCCCCACTATGCTACTCTCACTAGACCCTCTTCCCTCACACCACCCACTCCTCTCAAGTCAACTCCACTCAACTTCTCTCACTCACTCACTCATTCCCCAACCCATCCACGCACTCTCTCATTTCACTTGCACCACCCACTCCTCTCCACTCCGCTCTTGTTCAATCGACTCAGTTGGCAACTGCCATTCCAAGTTATTCAAAGTACTTTCCATGTTTTTTAAGTATGTTGGTGGCCATTTTCTTGAATGTTTTTGATGTAGTTAGTTAATGCAAACATTGTACATTGATTATGTCTTTCTGTTTTCTTCACAGTACAACACCACACCACACTTTGTGCGAAGCAGTGAAAGAAGCATGTCATTTTCTGATTGAGAAATTCAAGAACTTGAATCACAAGCATCTCAACAATGAAAGTTCAGAAATGGAGTCCATCCCAAGTGTTTGTGACTGTATTGAGTTTTGATACAGAGGGGCAGAAGGGCCAGAAGGCTTATGTTAATGTCTTACTCTGTAACTGGAAAAGTGTAAATGGAGGAATGACTGAAAAAATGACTTTTAAAGCTTTGCCGATGCCATATCTTCATTATATTTCAAAGTTACCATGTGCAGATTTACATGTAAGAAATGGAAATACACTAAGCTGAAATTCTTAATTTTTAACTATTATTATTAATCACATGCATTTGACCAGAAATGGGATAATGCCTTTAAAACCTACAGTTTATGGAATTTCAAGAAGTTTTCTTGGCTGAGGATAGGAAATAGCATTTCAAACCTACAAGTAAACTATTAATGTACTGGGTCTATAATAAAAATGGTTAGAGATTTTTAACTATTATTATTAACCACGTGCCTTTGACCAGAAGTGGGATAATGCCTTTAAAACCTACAGTTTATGGAATTTCCAGAAGCTGTCTGGGCTGATGATATAGATTAGCATTACAAACCTCTGAGCAAATTATGAATGTACTAGGTCTATAATTCTATTTTACAGAGAGTTTTAACTATTATTATTAATCACGTGCCTTTGACCAGAAGTGAGATAATGCCTTTAAAACCTACAGTTTATGGAATTTCAAGAAGTTATCTTGGCTGATGATAGGAAATAGCATTTCAAACCTACAAGTAAATTATTAATGTACTGGGTCTATAATTCAAAGTTTCAGAGATTTTTAACTATTATTAGTTATCATATGCATTTGACCAGAAGTGGGATAATGCCTTTAAAACCTACAGTTTATGGAATTTCCAGAAGCTGTCTGGGCTGATGATATAGATTAGCATTTCAAACCTCTGTGCAAATTATGAATGTACTAGGCCTATAATTCTATTTTACAGAGATTTTTACTGACTGACTGACTGAGTTTAGTTTTCGCCGCTTTTAGAAATACTCCAGCAATATCACGGCTCGGGACACCAGAAATGGGCTTAACACATTGTGCCCATGTGGGGATTCGAACCCGGGTCTTCGGCGTGATGAGCCAACGCTTTAACCACTAGGCTACCCTACCGCCCCTACAGAGATTTTTAACTATTATTAGTTATCATATGCATTTGACCAGAAGTGGGATAATGCCTTTAAAACCTACAGTTTATGGAATTTCCAGAAGCTGTCTGGGCTGATGATATAGATTAGCATTTCAAACCTCTGAGCAAATTATGAATGTACTAGGTCTATAATTCTATTTTACAGAGATTATTAACTATTATTATTAATCACATGCCCTTGACCAGAAGTGGGATAATGCCTTTAAAACCTACAGTTTATGGAATGTCACGAAGTTATCTTGGCTGATGATAGTAAATAGCATTTCAAACCTACAAGTAAACTATTAATGTACTAGGTCAATAATTCAAATTTTCAGAGATTTTTAACTATTATTATTAATCACGTGCCTTTGAGCAGAAGTAGGATAATGTGTTTAAAACCTACAGTTTATACAATTTCAAAATGGTATCTGGGCTGATGATATTGAATAACATTTCAAACCTATGAGCAAATTATGAATGTACTTGGTCAATTGTTCTTATTTTAAGAGACTTTTAACTGTTATCATGAATGACATGCCCTTTGCCCGGGATAAAGCCTTTAAAACTTACAGTTTATGGAATTTCAAGATTTTCTCTGGGCTTATAGTGGTAAATAACAATTCCAACTTGTCAGCGAATTCTGAATGAAATAATAGTATAGCATTAATAATGAAATAGTAATAATGATACTCACATGTCCTTAACCAAGAGTGGGAATATGCCTTAAAATCTACAGTTGGATGTATTGTATGAGAAGGGTTGATTGTTAGCACACTATCAATGTATTAGTGATTTGCATGTAGTAACCTTTAGTATTTTGAGGGAAACAGTGATTGTGCAATGTTTGATTGTGTCTAAACTGTGTGCTGTGCGTGATGCCCTTGAAGGGTGATAGTTATTTGACTCAAGCTGAATGGGTGTGAGTGTGTAAACTGTTAGGTTCATGTTATATCTATCTGGTAAAGTTATTATGGCGTTCTTATTCCTTGTTTTGACAATATCTGCTTGAGTAAAGTTGAAAATTACAGTTATCGAATCTAAAGATTCCTCATGGCTGTTGATAGTATTTAGTCATAAGTGAAACTTGTGAAACAGAGTCTACATGCAACAGGTCAATATTGCCCATGTTTAGAGATTTTAAAACTATTTTATACTATTCATATGCCCTTAATTAGATAAAGGAAAACAACTTTAAAATCTGATGATAGTAGATCATATTTCAGACATGTAGAAAGCAGACTATGAAAGCAAATAGGCCATTAATTAGTACAACTTTAAGGGAGTTAACTTGATTTAATCCTGGTATGCCTTTGACCAGGAGAGGGATAATGTCTCCTAAGTCTAATACTAACAGAATAATCTGACATTTCAAAATTGTGGGCTGAATCTTGAACAGGACAATATCTCTTATTTTCAGAGAATCTGTTCAATTTAGTATAATACATACAGATTCAACCAGAAGAGGGATAACACCATAAAATTACGATCAATGGAATCTTCTGATTTCATTTTGGCTGCTCATATTAAATCACACTTCATATTTAAGAGCACATTGGGCTGATCTACAGTACTAATTTTAAGAGATTTGTTTAATAGTATTACTTATATTCCCTGAACCAAATGTTTTTTGAAGTGGAACAAGTTTAAAATCTATATTTAAATGGAATTTATTATTTTCTTTTGGGTTCTTATACTTCATACTTATGGGCAAAATCTAAAAGCAGTGGGGCAATATTGCATGTTTTAATGTTGGCAGTAAGACGTATAATTCTCCATATTAGTTATCCCAGTTCTGGTCGTATCCCAGTTCTGGTCGCAACACACGTCACTCAGTTGCCTGTGTGGTGCGAGCCTATCCTGTCTGTTGATGAAGTTGTAGTTAGAGATGGACTGAGACAGAGTAAAACTATGTAAGTATAAACTTGGTGTTGCGTTTATCTATGAATGTATGTGTGCCAGTACATGAATGTCATGTGGCTAGTTGGGAGCCAGAGCGCCAGAGCTACCATCTCCCCGAACAATGTGGAACGACCATAATTAACAGGTAACTGGGGTAGGGTTTACTGAAGCCCAAACGCCAGTTACGACAATATTTAATCATGACATGTCAAAATATGACGTCTATTAGGTATGATCCTCAACATTGATATTTGATTTATTTGAATCCGTAAACTAAACAACCTCACTTTGCCATTGCTAGAAGAATCTGAAAGTTTACTTAGGTAAATAGATGCATACAGTTTTAGCACACAGCAAACGTTGATATGTATTTCTTATGCAACAATGAAGTTCTGTTCGTATTCTCAAAAACGTATCGGCCCATAAGTTTGCACATGCAATATCACGCCGGAGGACACAAGAAATGAACTTCACACGTTGTACCCGAATGGGGAATCGAACCCGGGTCTTCGGCGTGATATTGCTGAAATATTGCTAAAAGCGGCGTAAAACTAAACTCATTCACTCACTATGACCACCTGCCTTACATGCAGGGTATAAAACTCCCAAAAATTCCAGCCAGACCACAGGGCTGGTTAGATGTAAAACTTGCCCGCCCTGACCAAAACTTACCTGCCCACAAAATATCTTCATATACACGTCTAAATTTAAACTGATACATGCCTAGGTGGTCATGACCACCTCCTCAACAAGTCACGCTTAGGTGGTCATGACCTATTACATCTACAACAGCAGCTGGCTGGGTTGATTCCGTCAGTCGGTGCGTGTTGTATGCCCTAGCTTGCTGTAATGCTGACTGAACACTACTTGTATGCACAAACAAATGCACAATCCGTAATTTAATCCAGCCCAACAACACCGCTCACATTCAATAACTCGATCGTCTTCCTGGTCCCCGGCGCGATCTCATTGAAGCAAACGAAGGTATTTATACACCTGAATCCTTTATTCATAGGTTTCGCATGAACAAAGAATGACCCGCGTGGACATGTCTCGTGACTGGTAGTCAGCAAGTCAATACTTCAGCTGCACAACTCCTATTTACCAACAGAGCGTGAAGCTACTGATGTCGGTGAGTTAGAGCGGACAACGTTCACGGACAGGTCAGCGACGACCTTGTGTTCATGTAGGCAAATCATAACCCACAAAACGTGAGCTAGCTTTACAGTCTCGCATAATGTCATTTGTAGGGTACATTCAATACAGTAATCTGAATCAGCTTACAGTCGTACGTCCAGGCGTGTTTGTGATCTAATGTATATTGAATGTGTACATGTGTCACTCTGACATCTCACCATCATTGAGTTGCAGGTCAATCCCACTGCATCGGTCAGCTGCCCAGTGTAACATATCTGTACTTGACAGTCAGATCGACTGACCACCGTCAGCAACGCGGGAGACTGCAGCTTCAACTTCACCGACAACAATTTCAACTTTCACAAATAGCAACTTCAGCTGCCGAAGATGTCGTCCTGGAGGTAAGAGGGGAATGGGGAGATGGGGGTGGGGGTATTTGGGTGATGACACTCACTAAACAGCTGTTTCATGACAAAATACATTAACTTCAGTAGCACATCCAACCCAACTGAATTAATTTACAAACAGGCAGACAGTATATTCCAAGTACATTAAACCACGGGCCATAGTACAAGCACAGAACAAGGTGATATGCATAAAATGAAAGTAACGGTTGCCGTGAGAATGAAACTGTACAGTGAAATGATTTAAAATGCCCATATTGTACAGAACAGAATGTTTCCGGACGCCTTTTAGAAAAATGCATATTTGTACGTGCATGTTTAAATGTAAGTCCTCTGTGTAAAAGAAAGTACTGTGTACTACTATTTATTATGTGTATGTTATATTCAGACTACCAGCCATGTCACCAAAAATATAATCATTGTGATCTTCATATGCCGTTGTCTTACGGCCTGAAAAGCAAAATAGTTCTGTTCTGTTTGTACTGGCAATAATGCAAGCATTTCATCTGTTTTGTTCATAAATTGATCAATATATTTCTTCTTAATTCCTTACACAAATGATCAGTAAAATTCATACTATGTAACTTGCAGTAGGGGCATTGTCGCTGTTATAGTGTACTTATTTGGTGTACTTCTAAGGTGTACTCACAGGGTGTACCTGTATTTCGTCCGTTTCAACATGCAAGCCAAAATTACTACATCTAAAGTTGACAAGTATTAATCTAAAATAGACCGACATAGACAGAAACAGATAGCTTTGTGCGCATAATAGTGAATTATTTTGCTAGTAATTATAATAATGAAAAGTGCTGTTGATGGAAGAATGGGACTTTTGTATCAGACAGCCAAAGTTTACAAACACTAAAACAGTTCTTCCAGTCACCAATATCATGAGCATGCCTTAACGAGACAAAACCAAAACGAAAATAAGAAGGATATTATACGGGTAATCTCTCACGATCAATATATAATCCCTCATATTAGTTTCCTTGTTGAATATAAGGAAATAATAGGACTACACATTTTATTCATGACAGCTTGCCAGGTTCCTTATATGATTCATCCCATGTGAGCACCGATAACTCGCACAGATGAGTATCACGCTGCGTACACAATCAACAGTTTCACGTTACATTCGAGCAGTGAATATAAAACTAACAGTTTGTGGTCCGCCTGAAACCGAAACCCTGTCTTTATCGGGGACATCCCGTCAGAGGTCACAGTGTCATGCATGTGTGTGCGTGTGCGTGCGTGTGTGTACGTGAGCACGCTAGACTGCTTGTATTCGGCCGGACTATTGCTGAGTGCGGCGTTAAACACCAACCAATCATCATAGTTTGCAACAATGAATATACGATCGTCAGTCAACTTGCCAAGAGTAACATATGTTATATTTGGGATTACACTTTCTTAGTAAAGTACAGATTCTAGTTCTTTTGGGGTTGAGTTCCATCCGGGATTCGAACCCGCACCCTCACACGAAGTCAGACGCCTAGACCGCTAAGCCTCCGCGGCTTCCACAAAAATGGAAATCGGACATCTGGTAGTCTAGACTACGGGCTTTGTGTACCCCTCTGATAAGTGTTAATTGGCACTGCTCCCACGGCCGAATGGCATTGTGTATTTCATAACTTGCCAAGACGCTGTCCGAGAGTCAAGTCCTAATAAACCGCAAACATTCTATATTCATTTTATCCCGTAGGGTGTAATCTTGGTCAGACTGTTACGTTACTGGGTGTTGGTGTGCCCCTAATGGCATGGTTCAGTGGTCAACCGGTCATTGTATGACTGTGGTTATAGACAACCTCCATAGGTTACAGATGACTCTGTGTTACTTGTCATGATGATAATGGTCAGCGGGCATTTATTACCCATGTACTGACCACAATGACAGTATCTACATAGATATATTCAATTTAGCTTAGGGACTGTATAAAAATACTGGGAACAAGTGCGTACGATATGCGCTCTTTCTGTACAGAAGGACGTGACCTTCGTCCATATAAACATTGTGAATGAGGTAGCCATTAAATCACAACATGTATTATATAAATTATAGGGATAAACTGAATATTACAACATTAAAATTAAAAAAACCTTATATTCAGCTGTAGTATTAGTAGTAATTAGTAGTAATAATAAAACATTAAGTTTTACCTGAACGAGTCTTTCTTAGAACAGGGGCCGTGTCGTAAGCCTAGTGGTTAAAGCGTTCTAAACTAAACTCACTTACTCACTCACTCACTCACTCCAATAGTTAGGACATATGCTTATGACGTCAATATTTCACATCATTCTTCCCCTCAGATTTTCCATCACAAGGGACAAGTATTTCTCTGTAAAAACGATGAAGGGTCTTTTTAATAATGTACATGTTCATTTGAATTAATTGACAAATTTTGATAAGTATTGTTATAGGCATATGAGTTTTAATTTTTGAAAATGAATAAATAACTTTGATTGTTTGTGGCTTCAAACGGGTTTTTTGTCTCCCGGAGAGGGTATGTAAGTCCCATTTCATTCACAGTATTTTTTATTGTCCGTGATTTTAATCCTAGTATATATACTCTCCCAAAAAAGAAACGCATATAGGCATTTCAACTGTATTTTTATGTTTATTTTGAAACATCTTGTAGGCTTTATGAGTCAATGAAATATAGCGAAATTGCACACTGGGAATGCAGACTTATCCGTCTTTGGCACCAACTCGAGGAAAGTCAGTTTGAGTGTCACATGGAGACGTGTGGTGGCGCTGAAGTCAATACCTCGTGTGACCACCGTGGGCATCCAGAACTGCACGGCATCGCCTCGGCATCGAACGAATAAGTCTCAGAATCTCGTGTTGCCCAATTGCAGCCCACTCTGCCTGTAGTGCCTGTGCGAGTTGCTGAAGTGTCTGGGGCTGAGGGCTACGGCGTCGTACCCGTCTGTCCAGGGCATCCCACAGATGTTCGATCGGGTTTAGGTCCGGTGATCTTGAGGGCCAGGGGAGCACATTGATGTTGTGGTTCTGGAGGAAGTCTCTAGTGTGACGTGCTGTATGGGGCCTGGAATTATCCTGTTGAAACAACTCCCTCTGGCGATCAATGATTGGAAGGAGGTGTGGGCGTCACAGTACCGTTGAGCTGTCAGGTTGCCCTGGATCATCACCAAATCACTTCTCCTACGGCAGGTGATCGCTCCCCACAGCATAACACTTCCCCGGCCGAATCTGTCCACCTGGGGAACGCAAGCGTCGGCGAAACGTTCACGTCGACGCCTGTACACCCGCATTCTTCCATCGCGTCGTTCCAATAGAAATCGTGATTCATCACTGAACCAGATTCTGCGCATTTCGGTAGGTTCCAGGCCTGAACCTTGGTGCACCATTGAACTCGATGTCGACGATGTTGTTGTCGAAGCACAGGGCCAAAATAAGGTCTTCTGGCACGTAAACCAGCCTCTCTCAACCTGTTCCTGACGGTCTGTGCAGAAAGCCTCCTCAATCCGGGTATTTGTCGAGCGGTACTGGTCGCCGTAGCTGTTCGATGACGCAGGTGATGTACCCGGATGTAGCGATCCTGCGCCGCAGTGGTCGCTCGAGGTCGCCCACTACCAGGGGCATCTGCTACCGAATTCTGCCGGCGATATCTCTCCCAGAGCCGTGAAATGGTGCTTTGGTGAACATTCATGCGTCGGGCAACTGCACGTTGAGACTGGCCAGCTTCAAGCCAACCAATGGCGATATGGCGGTTGGCTTCACTTAGACATGGCATTTTGCGTTCGTCAACAATATTCCAAATACAGTGAGTAATCGACAGACAGCGATCAACCTATTATACCCATCATTTAGTCTATCTGATCCCCATATTTCACGTGCATTGCATGTGAATTGTGTATTCTGTGACACTACACGCCGAAATTGAAAATCATGCTGTTGGATGTTTCAAAACATAAACACCATAGGACTCATAAACAGAGCAAAACCTTTTGTAAAATGAATCACGTTTCAATTCATTGCTACATGAAATTGCTATTTTCATGATGCGTTTCTTTTTTGGGAGAGTATATGTTGTTTTTAATGTATGGCTAAATCTCAGTATAAACGCCAATGGCTGAAGGGATGGTGTAAATCCAGCTAGGGTCCATGCAGGTAGCAAAGGTACTGTAAGTCTCCATGTTCCCTAGTATGGTGATCTACCTTCAGTTCTTGGTGATCTATAGCCCGGTTTCTATATTGTATTGTCCTCATTGTAATAAATGTTTTAATGTTTACATGATAGTTTTAAATTTCTATCTGTGATAACCTAGTTGTTTTACTGTCCTTTGTTGACAGATTGTAGGAAAACCTTGATATATTATTAAAGTATATGTTATTATAGTCACGATATGGCTGCAATATTGCCGATGTGACTCTAAATCTTAACTCACTCACTCCCCCTCAGACTCGAAGACAGGGTTATTTGCAGACTGTCATCATGTAACTGGAGTGCTTCTTAGAGTGGCATCAAAACAACAAGTAAACACATTATTATTAAATTGTTCCAGATATAACCTGAGATCCTGTAACGTCTACGGCCGAACTCGTGCCAGTTCCTGGCTGAGAGATGACCCCTGGATACGGGCCGCCTCTCCAAGCAGCGCTGGCGCATCTCAGGGCGATACTTCGGAACCAGGTAAGAATACCGTTATGTTGACGTTGCATCGGAATACCGGCACTTCTACCGGTCGCTTGATCATCCGGTCGTCTGATTTGTTTCCAGGCCGCAGTACCCGTGGAGGTCCGGGTTAGAATTGGTCTTCAGTAACCCACGCTTGTCGTAAGAGGTGACTAACGGGCACACAAGGCATCGTATCCCAATTGCGTAGAACGATGCTCATGCTGTTGATCACTGGATTGTCTGGTCCAGACTCAATTATTTACAGACCGCCGCCATATAGCTGGTATATTGCTGGAATATTGCTGAGTGCAGCGTGAAACAACAAACCAAACTCATTCACTCACTCCAGGCCGCCGTCGTGGATGTTGGTGTCGGTGTGGGTGTGTGTATGTGTGGATGCGTGTGTGGATGTTGTTCTGTGCTTTATGTTTATAATCATGATGTTTGTGAGTAGTACGTAGCACGAGTGTGTGTGTGTGTGTGTGGATATTGGTGTGTGGGTGTATGCATGGATGATGGAATGTGTGAGTTGGTGTGTGTGTGGATGTTGGTGTGTGTGTGGATGTTTGAGTATGTGTTGTGTTGATGTTGGTGTGTGTGGATGTTGATGTGTGTGTGGATGTTGGTGTGTGTATGGATGTTGGTGTGTATGTGTGGATGTTGCTGTGTATGTGTTGATGTTGGAGTGTGTGTGTGAATGTTGTTGTGTGTATGTGTGGATGTTGCTCTGTGTGTGTGTGTGGATGATGGTGTGTGTGTGTGGATGTTGGTGTGTGTGTGTGGATGTTGGTGTGTGTGTATGTTGATGTGTGTGGATGTTGGTGTGTGTGTGTGTGGATGTTGGTGTGTGTATGTGTGGATGTTGGTGTGTGTGTATGTGTTGATGTTGGTGTGTGTGTATGTGTGGATGTTGGAGTGTGTCTGTGTGGATGTTGGTGTGTGGTGTGTGTGTGTGTGTGTGTGTGTGTGTGGATGTTGGAGTGTGTGTTGTGTGGATGTATATGTGGAAGCGTTTGGGTTGACGGCACATTTAGACTTACTCACGCCCTGAGTCACACACTATGATGCGTAGTACATGTATGTGTTAATGGTATAACTGCCGATATGTTTTAGTTATTACTCGGCCCAAACCAGAAATAACAACTGTTTCTGAGCCCGAGTTGGCAACAAAACTCCACGTCACAGGGGTCGACTTCCACATTGCCGACAACGTCGAGAGCCACAACACCGACATGTATGAATGTACACAGGACCGGGTCAGTGGCGACATCAAAAAGAAGGCTCAGCTGGTAGTCCGGAGAGGTCAAGAGTTCAAGATGACGATCAACTTTGACAGAATGTATGACATAAAGAAGAATGATATGACTTTGACTTCACTCTAGGTAGGTAGCGCATGTCATCAAGAAGAATGGTATCACTTTGGACGTTTGTACGTTTGTTTGTTTGTTTGTTTGTTTATTTATTGGGGAGGGTGGGGTTGTCTCATAACGGAATGGTTAATGCTATCATGAATCACAAAGATACATGGTTGCAGTTGCTGTATTTGTGTTTACCTACAGGAAGTGAAGATGATGATAAGAAGAGGGTCATTAAGTCTTTCAGTCTAGAGGAATCTAAGGCTGCCCCCTACAAACCCCGGAAGTGGGGAGCGAACCTGGTGAAGAAGGCGGGAAAGTCTCTAACAGTGTCAGTATTCATTCCCGCGTCTTCGCCCGTCGGGGAGTGGGAGGTCAGCGTCAACACCGTCGTGGGTGTCAAGGACGGCGAAGACATCGTCTGGACGTACACTCATGGCGAAGAGGTGATCGTTCTCTTCAACCCCTGGTGTAAAGGTATGTGACTAAAGCGACATCATCAATAAGGCGCAATCCTTTTTACGATTCGAACTTTATCAAGAACATTTGGAATCATTTGTCGTCACAAAGACATGCACAGGCTAGTCAAAATATCGATTCCTAATGCTTCAAATTTGCAAATATCATCCACATTTCTACTATAGACCGTTTTTCAAAGCTTTACTAAGGCATTAAATGCCATAACAGTGATAAAACAACCTAAGTGAGTGAGTGAGTGTGGCTTTAGTCCGCTTTTAGAAATATTCCAGCAATATCACTGCGAAATGGACTTCACACACTGCATTCATGTGAGGAATCGATCCCGGGTCATCGGCGTAACCACTAGGCTACCCCATCGCCCCTAAAACAACCTAAACGTCCTATGTGGATCTGTAAAAGATTCGTAGAATGATCACGGTCAATAGTACTATTTCAAAAGATAAATGTAGACTTTGATTAACAAGTCATCAAATATTTAATCTCATGAATAGGTTACATAATTGGTGTAAAGCATTTTTATAATTCTTCATCTATTTCTGTTTCTTTTTGTTCCGCCCAACCACGGTTGAGGTTTGAGGTTTGGAAATGAAATACACTTAAACATTATAAATGGACAACACAAAACTATAGGCCAGTGCATCTTCACCCTTAAAAACAGATATGCATACGTGACGAACACAATGAAAATGCCATTATTATTTCTGTTCCAGAGGACTTGGTTTATATGGCTGACACAGACTGGCTCAACGAAGCCGTTCTGAATGACTCGGGATGCGTGTATCGTGGCTTCTACAAATACGAGGATCCATGCTCTTGGTACTTTGGACAGGTGCGTTCAACCATGTTTCCATGACTGCAGGTTATACTAATATTTTCTGTTTCTGTATTTGACCATATTCAATGAAATGTAATAATATCAACATGCACTGAAAACCAATTCACCTAGGATATTGTTACTCTGATAAATAATAGATCTGTCCTGTAATGTTTGACCGAGGAAAGTAATTCATCAAATGGTTTTAACAATTTGCAAAATTTAATCTCGTCAATAAAAGGCGAGCTGCATCAAATAATTGTAGCTTTACATTTCCTTCACCCGGCCATAATTAGTATTTAGTTTCAATTGATCGAAGGTTTCATAAGTTAATAATGCATTTGTCCTTATTGAACGATTTGTGAAGAAAAAAAACAGGTTCTGGGAATACTTGAAGAGATTGAGAACACTTCAGTTTCTCTAATGTTTTGCTACAGATAAGCTGGAGTATTTTTTTTAAAAAAAGTATTTACTCCGAAAAATGAGTGAAAATGGCTTTCGGGACGCTTTCCCAAGCGCTATGCTTGACCTATGAGGCGATAATGGATCACGTGGTCAAGTTCCGTGACTTGGTTGAATATGTGTCATCGTAACTCTAAGGCGCTGATCGTTGCTTACAACATCAATCACTGGCTTAGGATTTGACTATTTACTGGTTGCCGTCATAAAGATGGGAAACTGCTGTGTGGCGTTAAACAACAATCAAACAAACCATCTAGTTGTCTGGGTACTGTTATCTATTTGAGCTGAGTTGGGCTTTACGTCACATTGGCATTATTCCAGCCATATAGTTATCTATTTGCACGGTGAGGCAGATACTAGGTGGCCGTACTTCACCTCCCATTTGGGAAGGAATATGGACGAGTTTTATTAAATGTGAACAGAATATTCAACAACAAACTGATTATAATTGATTCAATAACCTTATCGGTTTCAGTTTGAAGACGAGATCCTCAATGCGTCTCTTCACCTGCTACAGAAGGCCTTCGGTTTTGAGGCTTCGCCAGCCTTGGGGAACCCCGTGAGAGTTACACGTGCCCTCTCCAAGATTGTAAGTAGTGCTTGACAAGCAATGAACCAACACACACTTACCCGCACCCCTGCTTGCAATTAAGAGTGAATGAGTGAGTTTAGTTTTACGCCGCCTTTAGCAATGTTCCAGCAATATCACGGAGCGTGACACCAGAAATTGGGCTTCACACACTGTACCAATGTGGGGAATCGAACCTGCATCTTTGGCGTGACGAGCGAACGCTTTAATCCCAAGGCTACCCCACCGCCCCTTGCAGTTAGGAAATGCTCACAATCAGAAAGAACTTTGTCCTATTGCAAAGCCTTCGTGTAACGTGAGCCACGTGGTCTCCTGAATTTGCTTCACCTTCGCCAGGAGGCGGTGGAATAGTCCAGTGGTTAAAAGGTTCTGTCGTCACGCCGAAGATCCGGGTTCGAATCCCCACATGGATACAAGGGTGTCGTCTCAGGACGCCGACCTTTCGATTTTCCACTAGTCTCAGGACGCCGCCCTCCGGTTTCCTTTGAAGGTTAGGTTCTGATTAGGCGTAATTAGGGTTGCGGATAATCTACTATAGATGTTTTGATAACGTGAACTCGTCGCACTAAGTAACCACCACAACTCAGATGGGATAAGAACCAACAACCACCTGGAAGGGTGGCATTTACGTCTGAATAGATACTTCGGCCGTTCCTGTCACGAGAACAAACGAACACGGAAAACAATCTGGTTCAGTACGCTGCTGGCCAGAAGCATCCGTCCAAGAACAAGAAATACGGGGGCTTGGAGCGACGACTGGATGGCATCCGTCACCAGCTCAGACAAGGAACACTGTCTGTGAGACAGTTTGCTGATTCAGCATTCCACCTGTTGCATTTTGGGTTAAAATCGGTGGATCAATCTTTGTGAAAAAATGTGTGCTATCTGTATCATGAATACGCATCGGATATTTATTAAAAATGTCACGTATTTACTTATGTGAATCATTGTAAAAAAATGTTAAAATCTGTCAACTGAGTTTGTTGATGAGTGCTTCAAGTATGGAAATAAACTGATATAAATATAAACTGTTGTCGTCTTCTCATTAGGTGTGCTCTCATCCGCATAATCCGGATTATCCTCTTCTAACCACTCGTTGATCCTTCATTGTCCTCGTAATCCTTTACTAATTGGCAAAATGAAACTAGTCTCAGGACGCCGATATTTTTTTTCCACTCAACCGTGAAGTTTGGTCGAAAGGTCGGCGTTATGAGCCTGAACCGGATACAAGCCAACGTGTAAAGCCTATTTCTCGGGTGTTCCCCGACGTGATATTGATGGAGTATTGAAAAACGGCGTAAAACTATACTCAGCTAGTCAATCGCTTGCGCAAACACAGACAAACGAGGAAACCAGGGCCTAGACTTTGGAAGCTCTCTTAGTGCTAAGATAGTCGTCCGTTAATGTTAATGTATGACAAGACTAGCTTCGAAAATCTAGGCCCTGGCCTGTAAGGTGGGTTCCTGTTGCAGGTGAACTCTAATGACGATGAGGGAGTGTTGGTGGGCAACTGGTCGGGTACATACTGGGCTGGTACGCCACCCTCCAAATGGGTTGGGAGTGTGAAGATTCTCAAACAATACATGAGCACAACAAAACCAGTGAAGTATGGGCAGTGCTGGGTTTATTCCTGTGTCCTCACTACAGGTAAGACGGGTGTTGCAGATAGTTACCTCATTATCTTAACGTAACCGCGACGATCCGGGGTATAATTGGTCTTCAGCAACCCATGCTTGTCGTTAGAGGCGACTAACGGGATCGGGTGGTCAGGCTCACTGACTTGGTTGAGCAAGTCAAAACATTGATTACATAACAGTCTCGTTTCCTGCTGACTGGGTTCCGTCCTATTGCGCAACTTAGTACAATAACCAGTCCAAAATTTTGAGACCAACACATTCAACTGGATATTTAATATTAATCAGTATTATTTGATACATCTAATCACTTGTATATTGCATAACTGCGCTCCTTCTAATCCTTGCAAACACGTCGTGCATCGTGCTCTGTCGTACAGCGTGCTCTGACAAACGCAAATATGGAAATCGTAGAAATCTCAAAACTAGGCTCGGACGCTAGAAAAGTTTGGAGGACTTTTACAGTCTTGACATTATATCCAATCACACTGTACGTTACAAAAAAATAATTATCGTAAAGAACACATAACGGGTGTAACCAGTGAGCCAGATGAATTGTGAATCATTTTACGACCTCATGAAACAGGGGCAGTCTGTATTAACGTCATGCTGCCTAAATCTCACCATAAAATATAGAAATACGATTCATTACGATTCATTTGTAAATACCATTTTCTTATGAAACTAGGAAGTGGAATTCAGTGTAACCATAGTTGTTTGTAGTGTCTCTATTCACTTTCACACGAGAAAGCTGAAGAGTAGAGTAGAAGAGAAGGTCGTTGTCTGAATTGGTTCATGAGACTCATTTTTCGGTTTGACATGTCATCGTACTCCCATTGCGTAGATCGATGCTCATGCTGTTGATCACTGGATTGTCTGATCCAGACTCGATTATAGCTGGAATATTGCTGAGTGTGGCGTTAAACAACAAACCAACCAAACTCACTATTTAAGTCCAATGGTTTAACTTAACTTAACGGTAGTCATTGTGCAGGGATCTAATTGTGTAATTTTCTAATTGTGGAAAAGGGGGTTAGTGGACTAACTGTGATTATTGAGTGCTGTGGAGGTGTACTTTTGAGAAGAGTGAGTGAGTGAGTTATTCTTACGCCGCCTTTAGCAGTATTCCAGCAATATCACGGCGTAGGACACCAGAATACCTTTGAGTAGAAACATAGGAAGGAGAATGTTTTCGGTCCGGATACTTCCTAAACACTTAACAATAATCTGACGAGGTGGCACAGTTGGGTCGACAGGTTTGGATATCATCGTGTTAAACAATTAAGCAGTGAGGGAGTTTAGTAGATAATACCTGGGGTGTTTTGCCACAACAGCAGTAAAACAAGGGGTCAAGTTAAATTGAGGATTCGAGAGGTGCTCTGCTACAATAAACCAAGATGATACCTTATTACCATTTAGATAACTAAGAAAGCTTTTGACTGCTTAATAGTCAATGCATATGAAACCGTACTCAAAAGTTCACGGGTAGGATCCAGCCATCTTACCCTGTTCCAAAAAATCCCTCTGAGAACATGACATTTTTAATCTTTGAAGTGGAAACAGACTGGACCTAAAGATGTATCCTAAACGGTGGTATAATTTCAAATAACAGTCCTCAAAACATAGTGTCTAAGCTACAAGAGGTATGCCCCTTTAAATATCGTTCCGTAATGTCCGTTGCGACAACAACCACGGCGAGACGCTTTGCGTCCGACCCCTTGACAGAAACGGAAGAGAAACTTTTGGAAACTGTTTAGAACACACACGAAAGCACCTAAATTCTAAAGGGTAATAATTCGTTACACGACAATTTGCCAGGAAGTATGGGATTCAACCGGGCCGTACCCTCTTATACAACCTGGCAAATGGCCTTGTGTATAACGGGAATAGCCTTTTCAGCCTGGGATTCTAGGGGTGTTTTTCTACAATATTTCAAGAAGACGGCATGAAATCTTTGTCAGTGGGGGATTCTAGGGGTGTTTTACTATAAACATACAGCAAAATTATAAATATTAGGTTCGACCAGGGATTTTGGAGGATATTTACTTCAAGAAGACGGCATGAGATCTTTTTCAGTAGGGTATTCTAGTTTTTTTCAATCTCAAGACTGCAGGATTATATAAGCGACCTTTTTCCAGACATTGATTTTAGAAGTGTTTTGCTACAATAAAACAACAAGTTCGCGAGATCTTCTCCAGTCTGGGGTTCTGGGTGTGTTCAGCTACAATAAAACAACAATCTAATCATAAGTTCTTTTTCAATCGGAACGATATATTTATATTTAGAAAACATGGAAATGAGGTTGCATGCAAGTCGCGCATGTTCATGTATTGTGCATTTAATGTTTGTTGTGTTGAAATGCACCATGTCTTGTCATTACTGATCTGCCTCTACCGCCAGTGTGTCGGGCGCTAGGAATCCCTTGTAGGAGTGTCACCAACTTTAAGTCAGCCCATAACACAGACAAGGACCATCTGAGCATTGACAGGTACAACTACAAGCTGCCGAATGGAGACTTTGAAGAGGAGAAAATAGACTCCGTGTGGTAGGCATCCTATTTACGTTATAGAACACATTATATTATAGACGTAGCATACAAACCAGGAGACAAGGCAACCAGGAGAAATTACATACGCATGTGATCTTATGACAGCAGTACAACTTTACAATACGCTGAGATAAACGAATTCCGTATAGGATGGCTGCCGGACAGACTATTTCCGATGTTCGGCAGTACTCGGATCCATTTGTACACATCTAATTTTAGATATCATATAACTCATGGGGGCGATGGGGTAGCCTAGTGGTTAATGCCTTCGCTCGTCACGCTGAAGACCGGGGTTCGATTCCCCACATCGGTACACTATGTGAAACCCATTTCTGGTGTCCCCCGCCGTGATATTTCTGAAATATTGCTAAAAAAAAAGGCGTAGAACTAATCTCACTCACTCGCTAACTCTTGGAAATTCCCAATTTAACGAGATCTATTAAAGAGTCTGTTAAAAAGGGTATTTTATAAGTAGAGAAAGTCATACGAGTGCATTTGGACATTGTATTGTTATATTAGGAGGGAACTACGACTCTCTGTCACTGCATACGTGGAATTTGCATGTGTACGATTTTCATTTTTAAACAAAATAAAACAAAACAACAAAAACGGCTAGAAACAAACACTAGATGCAAGATGATTGTCAAAATTAATGGTCTACAGTGATTTATCGACCTTCTTGAAAATCGTCAAATCAAGAATGACACCCCATGCACGTGTATGTTGCTACTGTCTTGTGCACGTGCATCCCATGCATTGTGTTTAGGGGTGTTTACTTCCTATCCAAATTATTAAGTTCCCCTCCTTCGTTTGATGAGTATAGGTTAAAATTAGATGCTCATGATGACAATCACTGGATTGTCTTGCCCAGATTCTGTTATTTACAGACATCGTCAAAAAGACAAACACATGTTTATGATCAACATTACAACACAAGCTTAATACATACAAATTAGGCTATATCAAACCAAACCATTTCACCTGACGTGAATAGGGAATTACAACAGCGGATATTGAAGAGGCTGCTCACTCGCCGAAGGCACTGCGAATCGCTGTGTACACTTGAGGTCCGTTGGTTCATCAGAAACATATGTTTGTAGGTTCGAATCCCGGTAAACGTGTAAGACCTGCATCACTTTAGGCTTCCTTTGTAATTCCAGGAATTTCCATGTGTGGAACGAGGCGTGGATGAGTCGCCCTGACCTGGAGGACTCCGAGGAGAGAGAGGGGGTATACGACGGTTGGCAGGTCATAGACGCCACCCACAGGAGGAAAGTGACGGTGGGTGACTAACACGTCACAATTTAATTCTGGACTCACAAAAGTCCAGAAAACACTCCGCACTGTGGCCACTTTCAGACAAGGGATTTACCAAATTAAACATGCAGTTGCTATGAATATATGCTAAGGATCAAAAAATGAAAAAATACTTTTTCGAAAACTTAAAATTCAAACTCACTCGCCCATGGGCGGACAGCGGCCCATGGGCGAGAATGTTTAGTTTCGCTCAAAATTCATGTTTTGGGGGTTGTAAAGGAGTCTGTACTGTTGCTTTGGCAATATGAAGAGTCCTACCCTTGGAATTATAATTCGGGACGAGGAAAGAGTCTGTGTGAGACTGTTCCATTTCTGTTTGTAAATATTTTCTATCACTGATTCTGAAAACCCATATTTCTAAAAACACAGGGAACAAAATTTCTTTTTGCGAACGATTTTTTTGCACTGAATTTTCTGGGACAAAGTAAAGTTGTATTTTCAAACGCATCAGGCACGTTACTGGGTAGTTCTCTTGTTACTATGGCGACAAAATATATTTACATATGTAGATATAGTTATTTCATATGCAGAGGTAATTCATAGAGGTGTTACCATTTGCAATTGTGGTTAACGGTATCCAAGACAATGATTATCCATCTAGATAATGAAAGGACCGTGAACCCTGTTGAACTATTCACACATGCCCAGATGGACCGGCATTCCCTTGTTGTGAAGATATACTCAACACTTAAAGAAACGAATTATATTGAACATGGGTAGTTAATATGGGCGAATACCATAATGGCCAGGTCCAACCTGACACATCCGCCCATTCCAACTGTGGTGAACCACGCGGGGTGCAAGCAGCACCCTTTGTGAAAACACAATCTTGCACATCACGGGGAGACGTGAGTAAAATTTTAAGTGCCTAATTTCACCTGTTTGGGGGTCGCATAACTGCCCCCACCGTACGAAACCGCTTGCGCTGCCCATCTACGTGCCCGACGTCGTTCTGTTGGGTCGATTCTGACACAGGTAATCCAATTCCAATATGATAACGCGACACCGTTATGATACGATATTCGCCGCAAAACATTTACGCTACTGGGTCGCCATCAAGGTCACCTGACCTCAATCCTATCGCGCACACATGGGATGCTCTTGAAAGATGACTTCCAGTTGGGCGTCATGTTGGTACAGCAATGGTGCATGTTGCGTAATGCTGTATTCACGGGTGTTATACAGTAAATGAGACAACGTAGCCTTGCTGCTGTGAATGCGAGAGGGGTGGGGGTTTAGGGTGTAGGGGCATACACGGTACAGAACAAGCGGTAATGAAATAAAAATGTGACCCCATCGTGCTACTGGGGAGATATTATCAAAGACGACTCCCCCACCCCCCTCCTAGGTATATGTGTACAAAATTGATACCTCCCCAGAACAAAATAGGTAGGACACCCCCCCAAAAAACAACAACAAAAAACAAAACACCCGCAACCCTTTACCATAAATTATAAATGATCCCTTACGGGTTGTGTTCAACTTGATAATTCAAAATGGCCGATTCCACGCCCTCTGTAGGCGTGTTTCAGTGCGGTCCTTGCCCTGTGGCGGCAGTTAAGGAGGGGCGTGTTCATGTCGGCCTCGACACTGCTTTCGTCTTCGCCGAGGTGAACGGGGACAAAGTTGAGTGGCTGGTTAACCGGAGCAAAACGAAGTTCATACAGCTGTCAAGGAAGAAAAACGAGTAAGTAAAACAGTGAGTTCACCTGGGTCATTTTCTAGAGTGTCCTGACTCGTACTTGAAGGCGTGGGGTGGGGTGTGTGGAAACAGGATCATTATGCTGGTGCCTTTTTTCCAGTATTGACAAATACCCAGTTCACAAATGTATCAGTATAATCAGGTTGTACCATCTAATGTCGGCAAGTGTACATGTTCCAACCAGGCTATACCATCAAATACGATACCTTCCAGCGTTGGCAACACTGCAAAAAAGTCTACACTTTCAAGCTTATAAATGTATTGTAAAGATGAGGTTTACAAGACATTTACAAGCTTGTAAATGTATTGTAAAGATGAGGTTAGCAGGACATTTACAATTTTGCAAAGATGAGGTTTACAAGACATTTACAAACTTTGTAAATATCATCTTTACAAAGATTGTAAATTTTGTAAATCATCATTTATTTTCTTGTGCAAGTGTAGCCTAACTAACTAGGCTATACCATCCAACACGATGTTGGCAAGTGTATATGCACCAACTAGGTTATACCATCTAACACAATACCTTCCAGTGTTGGCAAGAGCATCAGTACCCATGCGCCGACCGGCAAGCCCTTCAATAAGGACAAAGAGGAAAGTGAAAGGCTGGATATCACTCATGAATACAAGCATGAGGAAGGTACTTAATGCTTAGATCAATGTGTGTGTTACATAACAGTATATAAATATCAAAATACAACAATATCATATCATGGTACTGATAGTATAAATAAAGATTTGGGGCCAAAAACAAATAACTACGGAAAACTACGGGTTTGCCACAGATTCGTAGATGAGTTATTAAAAGGGTACTTGGAGTGAGGAGAGGTTGACTAAAAGTCATCAAAAGTATCCACTTGTGAAACATAGGCGTAATTGTGACATCTCGTTGTGGGACTAAACTTGTTCCAGGTTCTAAAGAAGAACGTGCAGCTGTCCGTCGGGCAGAGCGGGCGTTTAGGTTGGCCAACTTTGAAGGAAAAGAAGGGGAGGAGCCCATACCAGTAGAGGTAAGAGTTGGGAGAAAGGGGGTTGGACGGGGAGGGGTCACCGCCAGTAGGGGTAAGAGTAGGGAGTAGGGAGAAAGATGGGAGGGTCACCACCAGTAGGGGTAAGATTAAGGAGAAAGGGGTTGGATGGGGAGGGGTCACCACCAGTAGGAGTAAGAGTAGGGAGAAAGGGGGTGGATGGGGAGGGTCATCACCAGTAGGGGTAAGAGTAGGTAAGAGAAAGGGGTTTGGATGGGGAGGGGTCACCACCAGTAAGGGTAAGAGTAGGGAGTAGGGAGAAATGGGGTTGGATGGGGAGGGGTCACCACCAGTAGGGGTAAGATTAAGGAGAAAGGGGGTTGGATGGGGAGGGGTCACCACCAGTAGGAGTAAGAGTAGGGAGGGAGGGGTCACCACCAGTGAGTGAGTGAGCTTTTAGCAATATTCCAGCAATATCACGGCGGGGGACACCAGAAATGGGCTTTCACACATTGTACCCATGTGGGGAATCGAACCCGGGTCTTCGGCGTGACGAGCGAACGCCTTAACCACTAGGTTACCCCACCGGCCCCGCCACCAGTAGAGGTAAGAGTAGGGATGAAGGGGGTTGTACGGGGAGGGGTCACCACCAGGAGAGATTGAGGAGAGGGGAAGAATCACTACTTGTAGAGGTAAAGATGGGAGGAACCACCACCAGTAGAAGTAAGGATGGGAGGAACCACGACCAGTAGAAGCTTGTTCCCATATAAACTTGTTGTTTTATGCGTTGTTTGCTCTCATTCAGATATTATATAGAATCAGGTTGATGTCACACCTGTAAACTCGATTACCGGTAGTATGTGATTTCGTTGACTTTATAGGCCATTGAACTTACCATGGAAGAGATTGGCGCCGTGTACTTGGGTTCTGAGTTGGTGTTCAAGTTGACCGCAAGGAACACAGGCGACATGACTCGCACAGTCTCCATCGCCATGAAATGTAGTAATTCCGACTACACCGGCAAGTTTGAGGTGGTTTTAGCTGAGAAGAAGGAGACCAACCTCGTCATGAAGGTTGGCGCTGGTGAGGACTATTAGGTTACGTTGATGGGGTTAAAGATGAAGGCAGACACTTTCTTTAAAACAATGAAATTTCGATTATTATTCTCGATATTTCGGGTATCCAATGAACATTGGAGAATTTGATCGAAATGAAGAGAAAAAGAATGGATGTTTAAAAACTTAATAAGAAGTTCAGGTAAAGTAAATACCGTAAGTAAATAATCAAATATATGCCAAAAATATAACAAATCAGCTGTAAAAATATTTTTGAGAATAGAATTTAACATTTGCAAAAAATATAGATTTGTAATAGCAATAAACTAATCGACATTACTAGAATATACCCTAAATTTCATTTTTGGGAGACATTATTTAGGAACCACGTTTTATGAAAATGGTTATTAAATGCACAACGTCTAACGAATGTCGTGCAAACACGCCAATTTCGGGCACGAGGTTTTCATGATGTGCATGCAAACCTGGTCGGGGTCGAAAATTGATCTTGTCGGTCAAGGGCGATAACTGGCGCACATCATCGTGGGCAAGCATGGGTGGCTGAAGACCTTAATCTTTACCTGTACAACGCATGCAATCAGATGTCTTTGTTACATTGTTAAACTATTTGTCTCATTAAATATGTAAAATATCAGTAGTTGTGACAACTGAATGGTCCCTTCATTGTGAGTGTTAAGTTCAGTCACTGAGCATCGCTTTGAACTGAAGTGGGTTTTTTCGAGCACGGCTTGAGCAGGGCCATTGAGCTACAGTACAACCAGAAATTATTGAGAATTTAAGATTGTAATTTTTTTCCACTCATTACTCACGTATTAAATGTGAATATAAGCAGAACATAACTCCAGATTCAAAGACAGGTGAACAGTTAGTATTTTGTCAAGTCACTATGGGCGGCAATGCAGGCTTCAATGCGGCGGGGCATACTACTGATGAAAGAAGTTAGAAAGTCGTGGTCCATGCTGTCCCAATATCGGACCACTTCTTCCTCTCCATTTCAGCAATATTTGTCAGATTTTTCTTATTGACACTTTCCTTCATAAGTCCCCAAACATTTTCTATTGGATTTAGGTCAGGGCTATAACTTGGCCAATCTAATAATGTCATATTTTGGGTCCAAAACCAGGCCTGTGAATGGTTTGAACGATGTTTTGGGTCGTTGTCCAAAAATCCAAACATTTCCATAGAACACGTGAGCAGATGGAAGTTCATGTCCCTCGAGAATATCTGTGTACCGCTCAAAGTTCATATTCCCTTCAAATACGCAGAGGGGCGTTGCCCCTAACACAGATATGCCACCCCACACGTTAAATTTCGGACTGTATTTTGGGCGCTGATACAAAGGTTTTTCAGTTTGTTGGGTCCAGAATTTCAGCCTATTGGGAAACAGCTACACAGAACTTTCATCTAAGAAAATCACATTGTCCCAGTTAAAATTTCTATGCTGTAAGCACCATTTCAACCTTCGCTCCTTTTGTTCAGGTTGCATGATCGGTGATGGAATTCCTCGACCTTTCTGCCAACCCATTGCATGCAGCTCAGTTCTAATTGTCTCCTTACAGACAGCCACAGTTCCTCTATCAATCATATCCAGCCTTAAGTTTTCTAAACTCATTCGTTTGTTTTAAGAAACAAGAAAATAAGCCGCCTCCTGTCACCGACAAACAATTTTCCGGGCCTACCTGCGCCTCCCTGGTGCTCAATGCCATATCCATTTGCAATATATTTCAAAACACGGTAAACAGTGGACAAAGGGATGCCTGCTCTACTTGAAATCACTTTAGCTGATCTGATGTCCTTGATATAATACTCTAAAATCAACTTCCTCTTCTCACAATCATCCATACTGAGGATCACTGAAAATGTCGTCTGCTAACAAGTAAACAAAGGGGGATAACTCTTCACAAACTAATGGAAATAGGATTAACGGAATTGTCTCTCTTGAATGAAACCAAGCACTTGATAGCTGGTCAAGGTTGTTTATACTAGAAATCCAGTTAAACACATTCCTAAAATTCTCAATAATTTCTGGTCATACTATATATGGCGACGGTTTGTAAATAATCGGGTCTGGACCATACCAACTCAGTGATCATCAGTATGAGACTTTGAAAGCAAACACCTTGGATTAAGAGTATGATATTGATGAACTCTGTCTGTTGATACAGTTTCAATATCGTTGTAAAAAGCATCACTATCGTTATCGCCGTTACAGTGAAAGTGATGACCTTGAAGATTGACACCTTGGAAACTCTCAAGACTGCAATAGGACGCACATACACGTGCAGTGTCCTTGCATCAGTCAAGGAATCGGACAGCACTGTGAAGACATCGGAAAGGGTGAATGTGCGCAATCCGCCCCTGGATATAACGGTAGGGCGTAATATAGCTAATGGTCTTAATGCGAAACTCGAAATAAGAGATGTTTTCTTTGAGTTAGCGCATCCTGACAACAGTATTGTTAGGATCTCCTCGGAGTGACTTGTTGTTTCTGTGTACCATGCACTTGCCCATGATGATCCCTGTGACACATGTCATGCCTCCTTGATGTTATCTGTACCACGTATAATGTACCCGTGATGTTCCCTTTATCGTGGGCATGACCCCGTGATGTTATCTGTACCACGTATATTATCTTACCTCACACATAAATGTCGCTTTCTGATTGGCTGGGCGCTCTTCTATTGTTTCAATGTACCCCGCTTACAAGCGAGTAACATTTCAACGTATCCCTCTGTCAATGGCAGCTCATTTGGTACTTCGTGGTAGTAATTCTTTATCTCGAATAACATTGAATCACGCATGATACCAGTGTTTTGCGAATGCAAATGGTTGGAAGGGAGATAACTCTAATCTGTTTTTCTTGTCAGCAAAATCTAGAGATGACAACAAAAAGATTTGTACCCGTGCATCAAACAATTCAAAATTAACATTAAGGTGTTCGGTAAGATAAATACGTTGTTCACTGGTCCCTCGGGGCCAACGGGTTTATGTACCCTTGATGTTTGTTTATGTTCCCTGAGCCCTGAACATAAACAAACATCGAGGGTACATCAACCCATGTCCCCCTCGTGACCAGTGAACAACTTATAATGTACCCGTGATGTTCCCTTTACTACGTGGCATGACCCCGTGACGTTATCTGTACCACGTATAATGTACCCGTGATGTTCCCTTTACTACGTGGCATGACCCCGTGATCTTGTCTGCACCACGTATAATGTACCCGTGATGTTCCCCTTACCACGTGGCATGACCCCGTGATGCTATCTGTACCACGTATCATGTAAACATGGTATTCCGTTTACTACGTGCCAAGTGTTCATGATGTTATCTGTACCACGTATTATGTATCCGTGGTGTTATCCATATCACGTGTCATGTCTCATGATAATCTTAATGCTACATGTCATGGCCCCTTCATGATCCCTACAACACATGCCATGTCTGTACTACCTGTCATGTCGGACCGCCTCCGTGGTGTAGTGGTTAGAGCGTCCGCCCGGAGTGCGGAAGGTCGCGGGTTCGATCCCCGACCGCGTCATACCAAAACACGTTAAAATATGGTACTTGTTGGCGCTCGGCATTAATGGGTACAACAAGGACTGGTCGGCTCGGAGTCAGTATAATGTGTCTGAGTGGGGTATTCATGCTTCACTGCGGCATGGTATCTCAGTGGGCTAGAACTATAAAACCAGCTTAAGTCTGGGCTAGTACACGCAGCCGCACATACACATACGTCATATGAGCGTCATATGAGCGAAATATTCTCAAGCACGACGTTAAACCCAATTCCACCACCACCTGTCATGTCCCCGTGGTGATATCTGTACCACGCGTCTTGTCCCTGTGATGATAACTGTACTATGTGTTATGTCCTTGTGATGATGTCTGTACCACGTGTCCTGTCCCTGCGATGATATCTGTACCACGTGTCATGTCCTTGTGATGATATATGTACGACATGTCATGTCACCCTTCGTGATATATGTACCACGTGTCATATCCCCATGCTGAGATCTGTACAACGTGTCATGTCCCAATGGTGATATCTGTACCATGTGCCATGCCCCTGTGGTGCTCCTTGCCTCTTAACAAAGATCGGTAATGACAATATATTCCGCCCATCAATTATTTCGTCCTGAAAGACGTTCACAGTTACTGCAAGCGATTCTACCCAACAGTTCCATCTTATGCATTCAGGGACCTGAGACGTGTAAGAAAGAGGGCGAGGTCACCGCTACTGTGTCCTTTACCAACTCCATGAAAGTTCCTCTCACCAATTGCAAGCTGAGCGTGGAGGGCAGTATGAAGTGTGTGGACAAGACACAGGAGGATATGGATATAGGGTAAATTCATGAGTACATTTTGCTACTTCCGGCATTCGTTCGAAAACAATAAGTCATTTACTCGTAAAGACCCGATTAGAATTGGTCTTCAGCAACACATGCTTGTCCTAAGAGGCGACCTACGGGGATCGGGTGGTCGGCCTCGCTGACTTGGTTGACACATGTCATCGGTTCCCAATTGCGCAGATCGATGATCATGATGTTGATCACTGGATTATCTGGTCCAGACGCGATTATTTACAGACCGCCACCATATAGCTGGAGAATTGCTGAGTGCGGCGTTAAAAACAAAAAACAAAAACCAAACAAAAATGATCAGACATTTATGAATTTTATTCATTCAGCTGTAGTAAAAGTATCAACGATTCCAACGCATGAACCTTGCAATAATAATGTCTTGTGGATATCTGTTGTATAGGGACCATCGGTGCGGGGAAAACGTGGTCTGTGAAGATGCTGCTGAAGATGGCGAAAGTCCCGGAGAAAAGGCCGATGAGATTCATCAATATGGTATTGTCAAGCGAAGAGATTACGGATGTGACGGGGATATACGTTGTCCAGCTCATCTGAATTACTTTCATCATTCACAACCTTCGTACTTTGTGCGTCAAGGTATCACGTGAAGGCGGAGACTGCCAATGCAAACGCCCATAAAATCCCTCAGTATATCTCAGTATATCGGTGTTTCAGATCGCCATTGTGGCATTGCTTATGTCATAATTGTGTCTTCATTCAAAAAGAGCGCCGCAACCGTTCTGTCAACATTTGTTTTTTGCATATAAAAATGCCTATTTTTCTTGTCGAGATAAAGATTTGTAACTATGTAATTTGCAACAAATGATATTTTTAGCTCAGTTAGTTTTGCACAGATGTTTTGCACAGATTAAATGTATTGATACTTGCTATACGTATTTCCTTCCATAATCATTTGTCTTCAAAAGTTAAAGAGTTTTGCACACATAAAATGTAGTCCCAATTTTTATACATGGTGTACGTATTTCCTTCCATAATCAGTTGTCTTCTAAAGTTAAATAATTGAAAAATTCAAATTTAAGCCTTAAAATGATGGTGAAATAGAAGTGTTTTCATTTGTTGTTAACATATATTTCATGAAGGTAATAAGTGTTAAGCTCTATAGTAATATTGATTGCAATACATTTTACTCTGTTTGACAATTATTTAACAGGAGTATGTGATCAGTTATTGAGGCTTCTTTTAATAAAGTAATGTTTATAGTTTAGATTGATCCACTTTTCCTGAAAGCAAAGTCTTCCCTAGAAATGAGTCTTCCTTAGAGCTCAGGCTTCCCTAGAAATGCTATGAAATGCAAGTATTTTCTTACTAGACTTGACATTCATTCTTGTTATCATCCTGGAGTCCGCATTTCGTCAACATCTCCTAAGTAGACGACAGTCCGATTCAAAGTCAATCTTGTTGACTGAAGAAGAATACTTTAATTTGATTGAAGAAGTCAAGGTTGCACTAGGAGCTGAGAAGAACATGTTCCGGCAGTATTACATTCTACGGAGGTATGAGATCGTGCAGTGTGGTGACGTTGAGAAGATAATCAGAAAGAGAAAGCCAGAATCAGAATCTGCAGTGAGCTATTTCACTCATATTGATGAGATGTTTGATATCGTAAATTGTGCCTACATCTCTACTGGTCATGGAGGCAGAGACAAAATGGTAAAAGCATTAGTGAAATATGCAAATGTCACACGTGATGCTATTAAATTATTCAAATCCCTTTGCATAGAATGTCAAAAGAAGAGGAAACGTGTTACAACAAAAGGTGTTGTGGTGAAACCTATCGTCTCCAAAGATTACTTCCTATGTCCCGTGTCCCGTGTCAATTGTCAAAACAAAAATGCTGATGTCTTTTATGTCTGTAATTTACTTCAAAGTTTGTTACTGTTCTAAAAGTGGGAAGCAGTGTGTTACAAGTTGGGTTTATTGTGTAACAGCAGATGCTACTATTTCATGTCTGTAATTTACTTCAATATTGATTTGTATTTTTGTGCTACGTAGCTGATACTATTTCTTTTACATCAGAACATCATGTGTTTTTAATACTGTTTGAAATAAAGTCACCTGTGCTTCAATTCATGAATTTGTTAGATATTCGCCACTTATTCATTCAAACAGAACGAAACCCATGCTAATCTTGTCTTCTCAATAATCCCTCTTCAACAATCAGTCAATCTGTACAATAATTGGGTTAATTAATCAGGCAATGTACACAATGGCTGGAAATTTCAGACAATGTACACAATGAATGAGTCAATCAGGCAATGTACGCATTGACTGGTTATTTCAGTCATTGTACACATTGACTGATTGTAGACATTGACTGTAACATATATATGGTTCATTCGCGGGACGACGACTCCTCGAGTCGTATAAAAACAAACCATGAAAACAGCAGGTGCCCTTCCTGCGAATGCTACCAGCAGCCAATTGTACGAAACAATTGACAGTCAGAGTTTAACGATTTCATTCCCTGTTTTGGGGGGCCGTATAAGAAACAAACCAACTAAGATATCTGTTAATGGACATTTTTATTAACACTGACTGACGACTGAGTTTAGTTTTACGCCGCTTTTAGCAATATTCCAGCAATATCACCGCGGGGGACACCAGAAATGGGCTTAACACATTATGCCCATGTGGGGAATCGAACCCGGGTCTTCGGCGTGACGAGCCAACGCTTTAACCACTAGGCTACCCCACCGCCCCATTTTTATTAACAAAGCAGACAGCATACAAATGTACAATTCAGCATTAGATTCAATGGACATTACTGGAGTTTTACAACATGGGAGGCATGATCAGCGAAGTGTAGGACGTCGATGTCTCCCCTCCGTAGCCTGTCTTTCAAGTTGCCGAGTCTTCTCTGGGATTTAGTCCCATTTCTGGCAATGAGATTATCACACCTTTTAATTCGTCCAGCGCGTTTTCCCATTTATGGCAGTATGCTGTTCACACCGCTTAAGTGATAGGTAATAAATTGCTTATTGGACTTGAGTAGGCTAAGTTCAATCCATAGTTATCATCAATCAGGAGAAAGTCATCACCGTATCTGTAACCATCCAGAATCAAATCCCCACCTACTTTCCTTCCATCTAAAGTTTCACCTTTCTCTGCCACCATAATGCTTATGTGTGACCAAAATACTAAGTAACAAGTATTTATGCCAGTCATATGGACGTCCTGGTACTCCTTTTTCTTGGGACGGAGGCGTTGCCAGCGTCATACTGGACCAGGTGGATCTCGTTCTTCTTTTGTTCAGATGTCAGGAACCGGATGAGCTCGAAGACTTTTGGATGGGCCTGGGAGACAATCTTCTTAAGGCGACCATGCCACCCCTCGAGGTGGTTGTTGGTACGGGGTTCCTCGGTGCCATGGTGGTCACAGACTGCTGGTGTCAGGTCTCCTTCAATCCACTGGGTGGTAACATAGTCCGCTAATTGTTCACACCTTCAATCTTAGGGCATATCTGCGAGTGTCGTCGATCTGATAAATAAAAGACATATTTATTATTTACATATTACTTACAACGATGTCAAATTAAACACGAGTTTACATGAGAAATAAGTGCCTTCAAAAAATGTTTTCACATAAACCTAAACGTGGAACATAAATGTCTATTGAAAAGTATGCCTTACATCGGCTAATGGAACCAAAGGCAGCACTGCACAGTGTCGCACGAACCGGGTGATTTCAGGATTCTGGTTGTAGTCTACCAGGAGGCCGAAGTGTTAGGCTTTCCTCCATAATGTGAATACGCATTTTTCTTATTTATTGATATGTGATCTGTGTATATGTTATTTTACATGTCTCGTATAAATTAAAGTTGTGTATTGTTTAACTTACCTTCATGTCGTTGTGGACAGGAGGATGGTTATGGTTGTGAGCCTCCTTCGTCAGGATGTCATTCACTGTGGAAACAGTGGCACTGCAGCCTCAGGTGGTACATTTCTAAGAAACACAGTCCCCATTCTTTCTTTTACAAATTCTACATAAAGCCAGCTACACATATAAATACCTGCCACCACGTGCTGTTGGGAGAAACTTACAAACTATCCGAGCGTTTGCCATTTCGAATGTGATGCAACAACCTCCATTTCCAGCATATGACACTGAGTGAACATAACGAAGTGAATACACTTCATGTAATCTATGAGTTGATTGGGGTGAACACTGTTCGTTGCCTGACAGGGCCTGTGGGCACTTTGAGATGACCTAGTGACGGCAGTCCCTTGTTCATCCCTTGTTATAACAACATCAAAGACAAAGTGGAGGTCCCCTTCCTGCTAATGGACAATTTTGGAGAGTCGAGAGTGTGTTACATGTTACAGTAAATATGTGTAATCAGTCATTTCGTTTTATGACTGAATGAATCAGTCATTTCGTGAAGTGCCTGTGAGCACTAGGCAATACATGTAATGACTGAAAATTCCAGCCAAGTTAAGGCTAAGGAACAGTGACAGTGGCATGTGAGATCACAGTGATTGCCACAGTTTCACAGTCCACACCAGAGTACAGAGATCCACCACCTGCTCCAGTTGCTGTCACCTCGGATAATGTGACAATTGATTTGACAGTTCAACTGAATGACTTCTGTGATATATGATTTAAATTTTGTGATGAAAGACTCAACTTTATTACGTTTTTTGATGCACGATTTAGCTTTTGGTTTGAATATCGGACCTTGTGGTGATTGAGTTGGCACAGTATACTCAGTATACTTTAATAGTTAAATAAAAACTAGCGTATTTCACATCCTTTGACAAATAACCCTGTCTGTCCTCAAATTGATCTGTTTATATTCATATTTGACGATGCCGGTTGATATCTCGACATACCGACAGACAATAGGTTTTTTTTAAATGATTTCACAGTTAAATTCCTATACAAAATTTTTAAAAACTTCATATGCCATAATGACTTTATGTTTATACAATCCGCAAGTGCAGCTGATTATGTTATTAATTCTTCTATGCAGTGGTGATGTGCACCCAAATCCAGGCCCACTTGCTTATCCTGACTTAAAAATAGTTCATCTGAATGTGCGTAGCTTAAGAGAAAAAGTTGATTTAATCCAGGCAGAATTGAGTGACTATGATGTTATATGTTTAACAGAAACATGGTTGAATGTTACAATTGATAACAATAATATTCTTATCCCCGGTTACCACGCCGCTGTTAGGAAGGATAGACCATCAAAAGGTGGAGGTGTTGCTATCTATGTGCGAGAGAACCTGCATGTTACACATGCTGATAAGGTGTCTCCCTTAGGTTTAGAAGCGATCTGGGTTAAAGTTATGTGTAAAAACAAGAGCTATTTGATTGGGAATTTTTACAGAGCAGATAAAATTGATCTTTATTGGGAACTAGTCCTCCAATCAATTGGTAATGGCATTGACATGGGCATAGATACTATTATTGCTGGTGACTTTAACATCAATATACATAACCGGACTAATAACATAATTGACAATCTTCTTGATACATATGACTTACAGCAACTTATCACAGAACCAACAAGGATCACCCAAACGACTAATACGTTAATTGATTTAATCTTTGTTTCAAACCCTAATTGTATTCGCACTTCGGGTGTGCTTGATCCTTTTTGCAGTGATCATTGTCCAGTTTTTGTCTCTGTTGGGGGCTCTGAATCAACGCCTTTAAAATTTAAAAGGAAAGTGTTTATTACGATTTAGCTAATACTGAGGGAATGAATCGAGGCCTTAACAACGTTGACTGTGATTCCATCTTTAGATGTAATGATATTGATATACTAACACATGAATTTGTTGATGTTTTGAGAAATATATGTGATATTTATGTCCCAAACAATGTGGTAACTATAAGACCTCGGGACAATCCATGGATGAATAGTGCTATAAGAATGCTTATCAGGAAAAGAAATAGACAGCATACGAAAGCAAAGACTCGAAATTATGATAAAGACTGGCAAAAATTTAGGCTTTTACGGAACAAAGTAACAGCAGCCGCGAGAGCTGCCAAATTGAAATATATTTCTGATTTAGATGATAAGATCAATCAGGGGAGTAATTCTAAATTTTGGTGGGCTTTAGTGAATAAGTATATAAAATCCAAAAATGGAGATTATAAGAAATTTCCTTCGATTATTCATAACGATCAACTGATCAATGATAGTAAAGATAAAGCAAATATATTTAATGAATATCTTGCTAACCATGCACAAGTTGACTATCCTGATAAGGAGACTCCTACACTTGAATGTAAAGTAAAGACTCCACTTACGTCTCTTGTATTGACTACACAAGAACACAAGAAGTAAGAGACATCCTATTAACAGTTGATATTTTCAAAGCCAGTGGACCAGACAAAATAGATAACAGATTTATCAAAATGATCGTGCCATCCCTTTGTACTCCTCTTACTAATCTATTCAATTTATCCCTAGGATATTGTAAATTCCCAACAATATGGAAGGAAGCTATTGTCACTCCTATTCATAAAAAAGGTAGTTTTAATGAATGTAAAAACTATAGACCAGTTGCTCCAACCAGCTGTTTATAAAAGGTATTTGAGAAATGTATTTTTAAACATGTGTTTGCAGTCAGGATTCATGCCTGGGGATGGAACTGTATACCAACTGACATACTTGTGTGATTTTATACTACATGCATTAGACAATGGCAAAGAAGTCAGGGCAGTTTTCTGTGACATAAGCAAGGCTTTTGACAAGGTTTGGCACAAGGGAATCATAGCGAAATTAGAAGCTTATGGTATTAAGGGGAAGTTACTTGATTGGTTTTCCAGTTATCTTGACAATAGATTACAGAGAGTAGCTATAGACAATTACAATTCAGATCTAAAGAAAGTCACTGCTGGGGTGCCACAATGATCTGTCCTTGGGCCATTACTGTTTTTAGTTTACATAAATTATATCATTGAGGGTATCAGTGGTAACATTCATCTTTTTGCCGATGATACTTCGGTATATGTTATTGTTGATAATCATGTTGTTACTGCCGCTTCCTTAAATAATGACCTAAACAGGATCTCTCACTGGGCTGAAATATGGCAGGTTAGCTTTAATCCTGGT